AAATAAATAAATAAAATCTTTAAAAAAAAAGAGCAGGTAGATAGAAACAATTATATATATTTAAGGTGTACAATGGGTTATCTTGATATATGTATCCACTGTGAAGTAATTATCACAAACTAATTAATGTATCCATCACCTCCCATGTCTGTCAAAAATTAAAAACTATTTTAAAAAAATAAGAGATCGATATTAGATATGCAAAAAGGAAAACAGTAAACTATAAGGGCAAAAGACAGAGGCCTCTACCTGAGCAAAACAAGGAGTTGGAAATAATAATAAATGTACATGTACATGGCAGTATACACAGGGGTCAAAGGAACAATTAATCTTCATAAAGAAGATATTAAATGGTGTGCAGTGAGGACATGGAAGTTCTTGAAGAGAAAGATGTTTGAATTTAAAGAGGAGGTTATCATGGGATTATTATTAAGCAGGAAGCCAACATAAAAGAAAGAGGTACTAAGATGATTTTGATACTATGGGTAGAGTGAGTTAAATGGAATGACAGACTGAAATCAGATGAGGGATCTGTTTACTTTAAGAGAAATACAAGTGAGAGCTAAGGAACAGACTAAAATGCAAGCAGTAGGAATAAAGAAAAAGGGAGAGATGAAAATCATTTGTGAGGGGAAAAAGAAACAGAACTTTGCAAAAGGATTAAAGTGAAGGGTAGTCCAAATATATTACAGTTTTTAGCCTAAGAACCTAGAAGAAGGATGACAGAGAAAGAGTAGTTGATAAATTAAGGACAGTAGGGGAATCTGGATAAGGTCACTTCGAGCAAGTTGAGTTGAAAATCATGGTAGAATACCTGGGGAAGAGATTGTTTTTAAGCAGTTAAAACTACAGACAGAACTAGAGCATTGGCAAGAAGCTCTTTGGTTAATACTGACTATATTAAGTAAAAGTCTTGGCCTAATCAATTTCCTTATGATATGTGGTACACTAACTTTTTCATAAATGTTCTCATGATCGTCATTATTATTTAAATATAAAAATGCACTCAAATTTGATAAGGACTGTATATGTTATATTTACCATGGATTTTCCAACTTGATAATTATCTGAATTAAGATTTATTTTCCTGAAGAAATCTTGAATGTTAAATTTGGATGGAATAATATTTCGGGGAAGAAGTACGTGGAAGTGGCTCACAAAATCCTGAAAAATGAAAAGAAAAATGTTGTAAAATCACAAGAAAATTATATGTAAACATGGTCCTAAACTAGCTAATTGTCCTTTTATTGATCCTTTCCTCATCTTTTAGAGACTGAAACCAAGAAATTACTTAATTTAAAAAATTACAAAACAGTTAATTTGTAAAATGGGGGTGGGGGTAGAGAGAAGATAGTGAATTCTACATATTTTGTTATCAAAGGGGAATGGAAGAAGAAAAAAGCAGAAACTAATGATCCCTTTTGAGAAAGCTATATTAACGACCAAGGAAAAAGTTATTTAATAACTGAAATTTTTAGCAGAAAAATATGCAAAGGTGTTACGGTATAACTGAGAATGAAGCTTTCCCTCCCAGAAACAGCAAAGAACTTGCTCAGCTGCTGAAAAGCTTCAACATAATTTCTATACCCATAGCAGCAATAGCTGATGAGAATAACTGTAAGCCTTGCTGGCAGCTTACGATGAAAGAAAATCTGGCTGAGATAACTTTACAGAAAACTAAATGGAATCTTTTGAACTAGACAGTTCTGACTGAACTCTTTCAATTACTGGAGTAATCAGTAGGAAGAACTACTGTGTTATGAGTAAACTTAGTCAGGAACTGGATTCTATCACACCACAGTTTAATAACTGCCATTCAATGGAAGTGAGTACTCTCTACCCCTCTTCAATTCTGTATACAAAAGATGGAATGCAAACGAAGAAATAGGAGAAATAAACAAGTGAGACCCAAATAAAAAATAAGCACGACACAGGAATAACTTACTTAAGTGTATATACATTTAAATATCACTATAAAAGTATAACCTGGAAAGAATATTTGCAGCTGTATCCGGATTGGCGAATTCGAACTGTCTCCAGCATCCCAGTGTACCGAAGCTGTCGAAGTACCAAGGCATCATTGAATCTTAACGGCAGCTAAAACAAAGCAAATGGAAAAAAATTAACCCAGACTAAGAGATCCCCAAATTAATGTTTCTCCTATAAGTATGGTTAGCTTTTGAATGTCTAAAAATTGACTGGAGATTGTCTGGTTAAGACACAGCTGAGGTGACGGGAAAATCTTACCTCCCCAGCTGGTAGCTTCAGAAAAGGTCTAACTGCCTGACCCTAGGGAAAAAGGAGAAACCAAGCTTCCAGGCTGCTCTAGTTGCAGAGGGAGAGGACCTTCAAAGCTAAAAAGAAATGTAGTTGCCCAGAAGAGGAGGCCACATAGTCTAGCTACTAAAGAAATCTATAACCTACTTATATGTAGTCAATAGTGTCTGTATTTTTGTTTTTAATTAAGATTTTCTCTATAATCTCACTCAGAAACCACCTACCCCACTCACTCTACCAGTTGCCTTGGTTAACTGAGAGCTGACAGATTCTTCTTTCAATGACTAGTACAAGTTTAAGAGTAGCTTATTTCCTGTGGCACCTGGGGAGCTCAGTTGGTTAAGCATCTGACTCTTGGTTTTGGCTCAAGTCCATGATCTCAGGGTCATGAGACCAAGCCCCGCCTCCAGCTCTGCCCTCAGCAGGGAGATGGGTTGAGATTCTCTTTCTCCCCCTCTGCCCCTCACCCCCCCCACTCTCTCTCTTGCTCTCAAATAAATATATCTTTAAAAAAAAATAAAAGAGTAGCTTATTTCCCTAAATGCTTTTTGCTGATGATACTGGTAGGACACACTGAAAAACAAAAAATTGCTATAGTTCCTGAGAACTGATCTCCTCACTTCTTAGGCACTGATGAGGAAGAAGCTAATGGGAGGTAGTCATTCATCACCAGTCACAACACCCTGTCACTTGTAGGTATCTCAGTAGGCATGTTTTTAGCTATTCCAAAGATTTATTTGGGGCTTCTGAGATTTCTTCCTATTCTATAAATACTATTTTTAATGACCCCCTAAGGCAATCCCAAACATTTTCCTGCAGAGAGATGGGACATACCAACTATCAAGGAAAAAAAATCAAATGGGCAACTTATGTTAAATAGTAATAGCAGTCAGGGCACCTGGG